GCTAAGAGTTTTAATATGAGTGGAGGATCTTGGTGTTTGAGTTTGGTGATGAGAGATAATTGATTTACTTGATTAAAATAGTTGCAGTTTTAGTAGGGTGTTGTATAAGAATCCAGATTAAAGAGAGATGAAGTGAAGGTGAAGAAAAGACAGATTATACCTTCTATTGTGCTCTCACAGTTCTCCTTTTGCATATTTTGAGATATTCCAATTGATCCATAACCCTGACAGGGTGATATTGTTCATTCATCTACTTTCCATTTTTGTTATCAGAAATAGGTATATATAATCCTCATTCCAAGCTCTAGGGTTTCAACTCTCACCGAAGGAGAGTGTCACTGTTTTGAAGGTTCCAGGCTGTGTTAACTTGGAAGCTTTCTACTTTTCCTTTCCTTTTATTTAGCGTTCACTTCATCTTAGCAGGAAGATCTCAATCTTCCAATGTAATTGATAGATGCTGTAAGTTAGAAGACTGTCCCTGTGAATTAAATGAAGTAACAAAATGCAGCTGGTTATGCTCCTTCTCCACCCTAATTCTTTCTGGGTCCCAAAAAGCAAGTGGCTGCAGAGAATCTCACAACTTTTCCCCTTCACTCTTTTCTCTGTCCAGCAAAAACTTTTCTTTCAGGATCAACCTCCTTTGGTTTTCTTCTAGGCCTATCTTTTTGCTGATATACAAAAGAAAAGTGAGAAGACAGAAGATATTCAGGTGAGACGGAGGAATTTGCAAGAGAAGTCAGGAATATTACTCAGAGAAGCCAATCAAAAATGTTCAAAGTCTGAGAGGAAGGGGCTGTTTATGAATTATATTCACCTCTTTAACTTTTGGTATGTGATCAAGGGCCTTCAGACTACAGACTTGAGGCTAGTTCCTGAATACAGTGTTAAAATGTTTCAGTGGAAGATGCAGAAGCTTTCAAAGCAGTGTCTTGGATTTTAATTGTAACTTTCTTTTAGTTTGCTGTCATTTCTAAACCTCAGATTACTCAGTTAAATCATGGCCTCTGTTGATCTCAATAGATACGCTGTGGTTCAAATATAATAATAAATATATAATTTTCAGAAGTCTAAGTGTATTCCTAGATAGTAGGATATTATTGTGACTAATGAATAAAGTTTAGGACTTGGATAATAGGATCTGTTTTTCTTTAATCATGAACAGGCTTCCATTAAAAGTCAAGTAACTCTCAGGAAATAAGTACTGAGTTATGAGACATAAGTCATATGTTGGTAAATCACAGGTCTTTAATTCAGACCAAAGGAGTAATGTGGCTGTGAAACAGGAAGAAAGTGTAGCAGAGTATAATTGATAAGAAAAATAATAATGTTGTTATGAGACCGAAGGAACTGATTTTATTTTTTTAACGTTGCTGTGGAATTAGAGACTGCAAATAATGGTCACTTTATGGTTGTAGCTTCAGTCACTGACAAAGCTAGTCACATGCCTGCGGCAGTCACCTAGGTGAGACAATCGCTAGTCTGTGACATCTGCATTTCCATGAGCAGAACCCCAAAGCTGAAATATTAGTAAAGCTATTATTAAAGTTACGCAGCCTTGGGCAAAGAATCTAAGTCTTAGCCTACTTATCTATAACTTGCCTTTCTCTTGATTTCATAGAGATAATATACACACATATAATTAAGACTTAAACAATTAAAATTGAAAATGAATGGTAGTAAGCATTTTCATACATTATTTCATTTAATTATCTGTATAATATTGTGAGATAGGGTTTATCCTGTTTGAAATTGAAATATAAAAACTTAAGGGGCAAAGGAGCAAGAACCAGAAAAGCAAGAGAATGGCAAAAGAGTGTAGTAATTTTAACAGGCCTCTGGATCACAGCCTAGGGTGAGATAACTCATTCTAATATTCTAGATATGATGGAACTGTGATTTTATTTTCATCTCTCAGAAATGGTTCAAGCCCATGTCAAAATACAGCAGTTTTAGAAAACCAGTTGTGAGTTCCAGTGACAACAAAAGGGAAGCTCCAGGATTAACAAGGTTGATATGGCTCCCAAGTCGATTATATCCATGGAACAAATGTTAATAACTCACTAAATAAAACTCTGGACTTACTGCAGCGTGGGTACATAAAAATGAACCTCGGTGGAGAATAAGAAAGATAACCCAAATCTCAAATACCCAAGGGTGAGTAATGAGGTTAAGTACTACTTACCTTTCGATGCTTGCTTGTGAAGCTCTGGTTCCCATTTAAGTGAGTTTCAGGGCTGATTTATCTACCTCTTTAATTTGTAAACACACTCTCTTTATATTCAATGCTTTGAGGTTTCCAGTTGTATCCTACAATGTTATATCTAAAACGTTTCCAACAAACGTCCTTGTCAGGGAGTTGTAAATGGCTAATACAGAGAAGTCAAGGTCTTGAAAAATCCTTACTTAACATCACACTCAAAACTTGGTGTCAAAGATGAATGTAAAATAAATAAACACAAATACAACCACCAAATATTGATAGAAGGCATAAGAGGGGAGGGAAGAATATCCTGTGAACAACTCAAAATCCAGAATTGATAGAATAAGAGATTAACTGATGACAGCATAATAATTCTAAGATGTCTTAAGGATTCAACAGTAGTTTGTCAAAATGGAGTAATAACTTTGAATATTTTAAAAGTATTTGACAAAGTATTATTTTCCAAGCTGTATGGATAGGTTCTCTGCAAAACAATAAGAATTAAGAAAAAATCTAGTATAGAAACATGAGTTGCTATCTTCTCTGTTATTGTGTGTTTTCTTCCAGCTAGGAGTTCACATTTTTATGGTCTAAAAATGATTACTTGAGATAGCTTTGTGGCAGGTTCTAATTCCAGCACTGGGCAGTCATTCTACCTCACTGGGATCCCTGGCTATGAGAATGTCCATCATTTTATCTCCATTCCCTTCTGTGTGCAATACATAATTGGAACCGTGGGTAACTGCACAATCCTTCACATCATCCATACCAACAGGAGTCTCCATGAGCCTATGCACTACTTCCTGGCCATGCTGTCTCTCACTGACATGGGCATGTCCATCTCCACCCTGCCCACGGTACTGAAAATCTTCTAGTTTGATGCTAGAGAGGTAGAGATGAATGCTTGTGTAGTTCAGATGTATATTTTACTCATACTTTTTCTTTGATGGAGTCAGATGTGCTCCTAGCCATGGCCTTTGACCGGTATGTTGCCATTTGTGATCCTTTGAGATATCCCAGAAAACTTACACCACAATGCGTTATTTACATAGGGGTCTTTATTGTAATCAAATGCTCCCTTGCTTGTCCTGTTGTTGTTGCCCGAATTCCCACATTTTCCTTTTGTCACTCTCATGTTGTCTTCCATTCTTACAGTTTACATCAAGATGTTATATGGTTGGCCTGTGCTGATATTTCTTTCAACATATCATATGGCTTATTTGTTGTAGCATTTTATTGGGGTACAGATTCTCTAGGAATTTTTTTACCTTATGCTTTTATCCTCTGCTCTGTGCTAGGCATTGCATCCAACCAAGGAAAGATGAAAGCCCTGAATACATGTGCTTCCCACATTTGTGCTGTGCTTATTCTGTATGTGCCAATGATAGGACTGTCCTTAGTGCATCGCTTTGCAGAACACTCCTCCCCCATTATCCATATAATCATGGCCGATATTTACCTGTTAGTCCCAGCAGTACTCAACCCAATAATTTATAGTATCAAAACAAAGCACATTTACCAAGGTTTCCTAAGGATATTGTCACTTAAAAGAGTTGGCCTTACTCACACTTAGAGGGCCTATGATTTACTGTTCTCCTCTTTCATATTTTATTTCATAAAATAAGACCATGTAAAATTCTGATTACATGGTCTTATTTTCCAGTGGCAGGTGTAGTTTCTTTTTTTTTTTGCCTTCCATTGTGTACTTGAGAAACTTACACAACATGTGGCAAAGAAGTATGATTGCACTAACTAGAGACAATCCTTTATGTTTGTCATCCTTGATCATATCAAATATAAATTATGTCAAAGTAATTTAAATTACTAATAAAGTAGTTAAAGTACCAGGAGCATTTTGAGGGCATTCGTTGCCAGAGAGGGCAGTACAGATAAATTATTATTCTGGTAGTTTCAGGAAGGGAGATGTAAAGATGGAGATATGAGGGTTTTTTAGTGATAAGGTATAAACAGCCTCTCATTTCTATGGACTAATAGTGCATGGTGAAATTCTTTATTAATTAACTAAATTTCCCTCATGATAGTTATCACTTCTATTGACATAATCAATTCCTAACACAGCCAGTTATTTATTGAATGTATTTCATACAATGGTGCCTGGAGATTGGTAAGATTGGACAACTATCTCCTTCCTTTGTTTTCTTTCTTCCTTTCCTTCATTTCTTGGAGATGACAGACCAAAAACAAATGATATCAGAGTTGATTGTCTGAAGAGACCAGGCTTGTGACATCAGTTGCATAGTTGGGATAGGTTAGTAAGAACAAGAATCATGCTGGCCAATACTTGCCTGAATTCTGAAAAGTACCATGCATGGTATTCTAGCATTGTTAAAGAACCTATCAAGCTTAGGAGATAATAGAATTTAATGTAAATCACCATAAAAGTGCTTATGTAAGACCAATGACCCTAGCCAAGAAAATTCCTAAAGTTAGAAAATTAGAAAAATAAAAATGTAATCTAGAATTTGTGTGTGCTGCTGCTCTGTTTGGGTAATGTCTTTGGAAGAATATCATCCATGTTGAGAGATGATATTGAATGGGTTTTCAGGAGAATGTGGGAAAAAAGATCCTTGTGGCTATAAAGTGGGTGCTTTACTTAACCAACAATATCTAGCAGTGAAATGGAGGAGAACAAATCAGAAATGTGGGGATGGGTAAAAGAATGATCATAGGTAAACACTTAAGTTTTGTTTTCTTTTTTTAATGCAGATTCTGATCTTATTATTTCTTTCCCCATTGAAGAGTGATTGTGGAATTGGATTGTGGTTTAACAATCAACTCCATGTCAACCTCAAATTCCAGCACTACCCTGTCCTCCACATTCTATCTCACAGGTATCCCTGGCTATGAAGAATTTCACCACTGGATTTCCATCCCATTCTGTCTTCTCTACCTTGTTGGAATAATGGGCAATTGCACCATTCTGCATATTGTCTGGACAGACACCAGACTCCATGAGCCCATGTACTACTTCCTGGCCATGCTTTCTCTTACTGACATGGGAATGTCCCTGCCCACAATGATAACACTCTTCAGGGTGTTGTGGTCCATTTCCAAGAAGATTCAGTTCAGTATCTGCGTGGTACAAATGTTTTTCATCCACACTTTCTCCTTCACTGAATCGTCTGTGCTCTTGGCCATGGCCTTGGACCGGTATGTGGCTATCTGTCACCCTCTGCGATATGCAACCATTCTTACCCCAAAACTTATCACCAAGATAGGAATTGCAGCCCTACTCAGGAGTGCTATTGCAATGATTCCACTTCTAGCTCGTCTGGCTTTCTTTCCCTTCTGCCACTCCCACATCCTGTCTCATTCCTATTGTCTACATCAGGACATGATCCGCCTTGCCTGTGCTGACACCAAGTTTAATGTTGTATATGGGTTGGTCCTGGTCACTGTCCTGTGGGGCATGGACTCGCTGGGTATTTTAGTATCTTATGTTTTCATCATTATCTCAGTGTTAAGAATTGCATCCCATGAGGGGAGGCTTAAGGCCCTCAACACATGTGCATCCCATATCTGTGCTGTACTCATTCTATATGTGCCTATGATAGGGCTGTCTATTACCCATCGTTTTGTCAAACACTCCTCCCCGCTTATCCACATCTTCATGGCTCATATGTACTTATTAGTTCCACCTGTGCTCAACCCAATCATCTATAGCGTGAAGACCCAGCAGATCCGTCAAGGAATCCTCCACTTGTTTTTCCTTAAAAAGATCAGTTCTACTGTGAAGTAGGCATGTCCTCAAGACAATAATTGCATCAGTACTAAGGAAGTAAATTCACAGTGATTTTTCTGCTCTAGGTATGTTGGAATGGGTTGTTGACTAAAGACTACTTAGAGAGCAGACGTAGAGTCAACAGGGAATTCACAAGTGAGGTTCTAAAGGACAGGGTTACTGACTAATGGGACTCTACAGTCTAATTTAATATGTGCTTCCTAAATCCTTTTTAATTACAAATGTGACACAGTGGTGCGTTGAAAATCATTTTTATTTATTCTCTCCAATTTCTATTGCCAAACTTTATTCAAGGTCACTAATCCATGAAGTTTTTCTTGAGTGTACCAAACCTATATATTTTTCGCTTTTTGATATTTTATATTTGCCAGGACTTTTACACTACCTTTTTGTTACACAATTGTGGTGTTTGTAATTCTACGTAATCCATCCTTTTTAAAGATCATAAACTATTCCACTGATATAAGAGCATATTATGGCTCACAACAGAAGTTATTATCTCTTACAAGGCATCAGCATCACTTTTTAAATGCTTCCACATGTTTACCCCAATTTGAGGAGGTTTAGTTTTCTCAGGAATAAAAATGGACAACTTCTATATAAATTTTTTCTTTTACTTAATTTTGGAAAAATTTTAATCTTATAGAAAGCTAAGACAGTAATTTTTGAAAGCCCTCAGATATTATCACGTGAAACCAGTGATTGTAATCCCCTGGTTTAAATGTATCTTAATTTAGAATACACCATTTAAATATTTAAAATGTAGCTTACTGAAGAATAGCTACTTAAAAATTTGTAGTAACAATAAACAGATAATATAGAACTCTTTAATTTTGATTTAGAACTCTTTTTGATATACAAAACTATCTTTTCTTATATCTCTGAAATTATCTAGCACATGACTATGCAGAATTGTATAATAATATTTGCAAATTTATATTAATTTTCTTAGTTCACATGTCCATACTTGTTCCAAAGAGAAAAAACTGGATGTAAAACACTTGAAGAATGCTTTATAGTTCTCAATATTTGTATAGATCTTAATAATACATAATATGTTTTCTTATCTTATTCTAAATGCTATTGAGCAGGAACTGCAAAAATTGGCACTATGCTTGGTTTAAATGAGGCACTCTGTAATTATTAAATGTATAAATGATAAATGACTCAATTATTAATAAGGAACTACTAGTTTGTACATGTATATGCATATATATGTCCTGAAACTGTCATTAGCCCACATTTCATACAATAAAAGAAATCTTACTAACTTGTTAGAATTTTAAATTTCAAGAACATGAGGTACACCTGGAAAAACTATAAACTTCTGTCTCTCCCCTCATTTCATATAAACTGTGCCTATTCCCACCCTCCTTTATTCTATTTTTTAATTTTACTTCTTATTACTCCTTAATTGTATTCACCTTGACAAAAGAGATATTAACTAAAAATAACTCAAGAAATATGAACTTTGCCTGGGCATGGTGACTCACTTTGAGAAGCCAAGGCAGGTGGCTCACAGGAGCCCAGGATTTGGAGACCTGGGCAACAAAGCAAAACCCCATCTCTGCTAAAAATACAAAAATTATTTGGGCATGGTGACCTGTGGCTGTAATTCCAGCTACTTGGGAGGCTGAGGTGGGATAATTGCTGGAACCCGCAGAGGGAGGTTGCAGTGAGTCAAGATCATGCCACTGCATGCCAGCCTGGGTAAAGAGCCAGAGAAAGAAAAAGAAAGAAAGAAAGAAAGAAAGGAAAGAAAGGAAAGAAAGGAAAGAAAGGAAAGAAAGGAAAGAAAAAGGAAAGAAAGAAAGGAAGAAAGAAAGGAAGAAGAGGGAAAGAAAGAGGAACATCAAATGATACAATCCTCTTTGTATAAAAAAATAAAATTGTTAGGAAAAAATAAAATATTGAGAAGGATACGAACATTATCTTCAAATGTACATTGTTTAAGTACCATTTAACGATTTATAGCCACATTTAAAATAAGACCTTCAAATCAGGATATATTTTTCACTTACGGATGCTGAGCATAACTTTCCTAGTGACTGTGCTATACAAAATGAACACTTTACAGTGAAACCTCTGTAAACAAAATGAAAGCTTTTCTTTTTTAATAGAAATATACTCAAACTATCAGATCTTATGGTTTTAATTTACATGCAGGTAAAATGATCTTAAATGGATATTTACATTGAATACCAAGACTTTGAGTTTGTAAATCATTGTCTACTATGCTAGCTCTTGAAATTTATTATTAGAGTTACAAAATATTCATGAAATATATCTTAATAAAGGTATTTGGAAAACACTTATTTTCAATATTAAGATTGTCTTTCCAAGTAAAATAGAGTTGAGCAATTAAGTTTATGAGTAAATAAATTAAGGAATAACAAGACTGTATTATGAATTGAGAACAGAAGCATTATCTTGATTTTGGAAACTTAATCAAGGCTGGAGTTCAGTCCTGCAGTAAACAGATAGTACTTCTAAAACAAGAAGCGTCTTCCTCCTGCCTAAAATCACAATAATAATAGAAACATTTATTTTGTTTGCATATGGATTTAAAACTTAGGAGCCATTTTCACTCATATTAGCTAGTCAGATAATGCCATAAATATTTATTTGCCTTATGAAAACATTCTCTGCATTCTGGCAAAAATTGTAAGATATCCTTAAACCCAAAATAATAATTTTCAATTTTATATTGCAACCCCTATATTTAGGCAAAATGCAACGTAATTATTTTCAAAATGTCAAATGTTATCTTTTAAATTATGGGTTGATCATCTTTATGCTACAAAAGGCCCTTTGTGACAAAGCACTAATATCAGAGTATAGTAATGTTTCCTTCATCTTCGAAGGGTTTGGTATTTTATCCTACATAAAGCATTGTTGCAAAACACCTCATTATCCCACTTATCAGTCATTCAATCTAATAGTTTAAACAATAAAAGCACATTTTTAAAACAGTATAAATAACCACAAGTTACACACAAAATTATAAAACTGTATGTTTTTATATATATATAATATGAAGAGAATGATAACAGTTTTTTTCAATATTTTTATTCAATCAAATTAATTCAACCACAAGACCATATATATGTCAATCCTATGTTTACAGCACAGTCTTTTATTAGATGACAAGGAATAGTTATTTTATTAATCTAGAGGTAAATATTTTCTGCTGGAGAAGAGGAATTATAATGCAGAAATTATGGTAGATAGGTTTATAGATGCTAAAGAATGTTCCAGTTACTATAAAATGCAATCAGCAAGAATGTTCGGTGTGGAAACTTCCTACAGGGTAGTCAAAAGACTGTTCTCAAAATCAATCAGTAGGACAGGGTGATGAAGAGAAAACCCAGTCCTGTGGTCGAGGAGAGCAGCAGTGAGCCCATAAATACTATTAAGGGCAATGTTATTGCAGGCCCACTTGGCAATGCCCATGTCCTCACATTAGGTATGGCAGATGATGTCACTCCTACAAAAGTGCAACTGGAGAATGAGGAGGAAATAACTACAGTCACACTCTGAGCCACCAGAGCCAGACCCATCTTGCCAGTGAGACAGCCTGTTGCATAATGAAGAGGTGCACAGATAGCTACATAGCCATCAAAAGCCAAAGCCAGTAGAATAGCACACTTTGAGAGGAAAAGAGCATGAACAAAAACCATCTGTGTGAGGCAAGCAGTAAATTTGAAAGGGAGGGACCCTGCCGGAAAATTAGAAGTGATTTGGGCACTGTGACAGTGAAAAGAAGAACATCACTGAGTGCCAGCGTGGCCAGAAAGAGATACATGGTTTATGGAGGCTTCTGTCTCAGGCCACCAATGTCATAACCAGGCCATTGCCCATCACAGCCAAGAGGTACATAAAGCTGAAAGGAATGGAGATCAATTTGGAAATCTTCTAATACTGGGACACTCATCAGCAGAAAGCCAGTGAGGTGAGTAGGTATATAGTTGGATGTCCTTATGGAGAAGTGGTTGAATTCTATTAAAAAAAAAAAAAGATATCTAGAATAAATGACAACTTAAAAGGAAGTATTTATTGCCTCATCTTAGTTAAGTTCTAGCTATTTATTTTGACATGATGAAGTGGAAGGAGAAAGGAGCATGAATAAAATGTTCTAAGTTACTAAATAACTTACTGATTGTGGGAAAATCATGCCCATTTTATGGAACACTTGGTTTGCTTTGCAAAAAAAAAAAAAGTTATGAATCAGAAAATCTAGGATCTGAATTCTTTTTTGTTAAATGCCAATTGTTCTAAACACACAGTTTATTTGTATGTGTTTTGAAATTTTAATGGGCCTATGTATATAGTTTTTGCCTTTCTCACTTGACAATAAATTCTCAACTACAAAGAAAGTAACTTGCTCTTTCTTTTCTCTGCATAATGCTGAATGGAAGACTGGAGAGAAGATTCTATTTTTCTGTGAACAAATTTATGGGAGAATATGGGTTGGGTAAGAAACTGATATATAACTGGAGGTATCATGAAGGTTCCGATTCTTGTTTTCTATCCTAAGGTTGTGAATGTTTCTTTGGCATAATTCTTCTATTATAAAGTAAAAAACATTCTCTCATCTGCCTGTCATCTACAGCCTTGAATATAATGATTAAATTAGCATAAAATGTAAACTGCTGTTCAGAAGTTGTTATATTATTCATGCTCTAATAAACACTAACTCACAGGAATCAAGCCATGGAATCAAAGAAGACATAAAAATTCAGAATGCAGTGTATCCTCCTTCAGAATTGAAAATCAATGCAATATGTCACGGTCCATTGTCATTCCATACACAACACTGAGTCTAGTATAGAATAGAGTAACTGTTGTTTTCATATCTAGGATCAACAGAACAAGGTCAAATCACAGAAACTTTTTTTAAATAATTGAGGTTTGTATTTGTAGTACATCAAATGACATTTTTAATTAAAAATAGCTTTTCTCTAAAACATGCCTCAAATATAAAATTATTAATTTCCCAGGACTAAAACATTAATCCAAAGATCTAAGTTGTAATCAAAAGTAGTATTTTGGGGAAAGTCACCATATATATTTACCAACACTTTTCAACTTCGACTCTTAGAAATTTTCAAAGTTACAAATCATATTATTCAATCTAAAAAAAA